AGGCGTTAATTAATGAAGTTGACAAGATGATGAAATTGAACGTCATTGAACAATGCGAAAGTCCTTGGTTATCTTCAGTTCTCATCACTCCGAAGAAGAATGGTGAGGCGTTTCTGCGTAGACAGCAGGAAGCTTAACTCAGTTACACGTCGTGATGCTTATAGTCTGCCACTAATAAGCGAAATTTAAGACAACCTGAGGAATGCCAAATACTTATCAAGCATCGACATAGCGAAAGCATTTTGGGAGATTCCCTTGAATCCTGCTGATAAAGAGAAAACTGCATTTTATGTACCTGGAAGAGGTATGTTTAGATTCAAGGTAATGCCTTTTGGTCTCACTAACTCACCTGCAACTCTACAAAGATTAATGGATATGCTTTTTACTCCTGAATTTGAGAACAAGGTATTTTGCTATCTGGATGACATCGTTATTATTAGCGAGACTTTTGATGAACACATATCACTTCTCATGAAAGTTCATGAAAAACTTTCATATGCTAATCTGACTAGTAACTTTGAGAAGAGTCAATTCTTCAGGAAAGAACTGAAATACCTTGGTTTTCTAGTGGACGAGTATGGTCTACATGCTGATCCAGATAAAATAAAAGCTATTTTAGAATATCCTTTACCTACTTGAAGAAAAGAACTACGAAGATTCATAGGCACCTGCAGCTGGTTCAGAAGATTCATTCCAAACTTTAGCACTATTGCCTCTCCACTCAATCAACTAACCTGTTCCGGGAAGAACGCTCCTAAATTTCTTTGGAATTCTCAAGCTGCAGCTGCTTTCCAGAAACTTACAGAAGCTTTGGTAACTGCTCCTGTCCTTGCTTGTCCTAACTTTGAACTACCCTTCTCTGTACATTGTGATGCATCAAACTATGGCATAGGAGCAATGCTTACTCAACATCAAGATGACAAAGAAGTCGTGATTGCTTACATGAGTAAAGCACTAAACAAAAATCAACAGAACTACTCAACTACTGAAAGAGAAACATTGGCTGTAATAACTGCGTTAGAACATTGGCGATGTTACCTAGACAATGGTAAAGAATTTACAATATATACTGACCATGCTGCACTTAAATGGTTTCAGAACTTATCGAATCCATCAGGAAGACTTGCTCGCTGGACTTTACGCTTATCTTGCTTTAACTTTGTCCTGAAACATAAAAAAGGAAAGGATAACGTTGTTCCAGATTTATTATCAAGACATAAGAATCAAGAACGTCCTGATACACGAGAAATTTCACCTCAAGGCGTACACCCTATTACGATTGAAGAACCACCTGATCGTAAACTTGAGCACTACAACAAGATTTTTCTCGGATGCTCCAACAACCCAGACTCATATCCCAACTATACTATCAGGGATAACAAACTTTACCGCTGCATCCATTCTCCCGATCGTCTAAACGATGACTTTATTTGGAAAGAAGTTCCACTACCTCAAGATAGACATGCAATTATTGAAGTTAACCATGGTTCCCCTTCAGAACTCCATCTTGGTATCTTCAAGACATTCAAGAAAATATCTTTAAAATACTATTGGCCTGGTATGTTTAAGGATATTGCCAATTTAATCTCAACTTGTGAAACCTGCTTAACCTACAAACACCCTAATCATTCTCCCTATGGTCTTATGGGTAAACCTAAACTTTGCTCCAGACCTTTTCAAACTATATCCTTAGATCTTATGGGTCCATTGCCTATGACTCGAAGACGAAATCAGTATATTCTAGTAATTAACTGCAATTTTACTAAATTTACTATGATTTTTCCCCTTAAACGTGCTACTTCAGCTAATATTATTAATGTTTTGGAAAATTCAGTTTTTCTGGTTCATGGCATTCCCCAAACTATTATAATGGACAATGCTGTTCAATTTCAGTCGCGAGAATTCCACTCATTCTTAAATTCTTATAACGTTCCTTTTATTTTTCACACAGCTTTATATTGTCCTCAGGTTAATCCTACAGAGAAGTTTAATAGTACAATTATTACAGCTCTAGCATCTCTAGTAGGAGACGATCATAGATCATGGGACAACCATCTTACTAAAATTCAGTACGCAATGAACAGCGCTACAAATGTAGCTACTGGCTTTACTCCAAACTTTTTATTCTTTGGTAGGGAAACAATACCTTGTGGTTCCTTCTATACTCCAACTCAGAACCTCGAGGAATTAATATTTATGCCTCGTGATATTTACGCGTCTAATGCTGGTCTCCTCTCATCTATCTTTCACAAAGTTCAAACTAAACTTCACATAGCGCACGCTAAAAATAGCGCTCGCTATGATCTTCGCCGGGCTTTTAAAGAATTTAATGTGGGAGATACTGTTTGGCGTAAAAATCATGTTTTAAGCAATGCCGGCGCATACTTTAATGCTAAACTTGCCCCTAAGTTCATCAAGTGCAAAGTGATAGCTAAACTGTCACCACTAGTCTATGTACTTGAAGACCCTAATGGAGTTAGAGGCAAGTGGCACATCAAAGATGTAAAATCATAAATTTTCTTAACTTTTATTAACTATTAATTTGTATATATGTATAAATATCACCATCATTCTCACCTTATTATTTTTATTTCTTTTAATTTGTTTGTTTGTTTGATGATCCAGTGTTCTTCAACACATCTTGCTTTAGGACCTCGAACTTTCGTTGGTTAATCGTCACTTTTTATTTTTATTTCAGACACATCTCGTTGGTGATGTTGCTGTTTTCTGGCTTTGAGCCCTACCGCTCTGGCCGTTCTTAATCTTTACTTAAGTCATAGCGACTAAAGCTTACTTGAGGTATTTCTTTATCTTTATCTTCACTTGGGAGCGGCTGATTACTCCCTTAATAATTTTTTTTATCTTCACGCAGGAGCGGATGACAACTCCTTAAATAAGCCTGAATGTCCTTTCGAAAACACACTTTTAAGAGTGGTGTTTCTTCGACTAATTTATTTTTTTTTTTCCACGCAGGAGCGGATGACTACTCCTTAAATAAGCCTTAATGTCGTTTCGAAAACACACTTTTAGAGTGGTAGTCATTGAATGTGAACTCCACCCTTACCTGAACGGCAGATGATGAATGTAAGAGATGGTATATTTGATTTTGCCTGGTGATGTCTGTTTCTGCAAAGCTGTGTTTTTATGGTTTATTTTAGAATGTATATATCAAAATTTTTGCTGAGTCAAAAATTTTCCAGGGTCGGGGGGAAAATGTAGTGTTATACTACTTACGTATCATTTTACATTATTTTAAATTCATTTTTCCATTCTGTTTCGATTTTCTGCATTCACCTCAAAACTGGATATTTTACATCACCTTTATTTCCATAGGATCCTGTAACGATTTTAAACCATAAGAACACAATAACAAATCATTTCTACTTCGTATTTTCGCATTATCAGCACTTTTAAATTGGTGTCAATGGAGTCTACCTTTTTTCGATCTTTTAGCTAGTTTTCCGTAACTCTACAATCTTGGACTTTGTGTGGGCAGTTGCGCTACCTTTTTTCCTATACCAATAATATCTCATTTTCCACTTAAATCTTATAGTTTTCTTATTATAAACCTAAAACAAAAATTTGACATGTTTTGTCTTTCTTATTTATATCGTTTCCATAGTAATTATATTCAAATTTGCTACCGATCTATTATTCCTATTTCGATAATTCCACATAAATCCTCTTTTCTCTTGACCATTTACAAAAAATTTGCGTATAATTTAAATAATTTTTCCGTTCTCTCTAGAAAGGTATAAAAGCCGAACAATCGTTGAAGAAAGGCAGTCTCGCTTCAGTTCGCGAATTGGAAGTATCTCCTAAAGGCCTTATCCCGGGGCCGCACTGCCCCGGGATCCTGCAAGCCTCCATTTACACGTGAAGTCTTCGGCGAAGCCTTCTTCAAACTCGGGCCGCGCCACTCCGGAATCCTACAAGCCTTCGTCGCTTCGAGTCTACTACAAGCGCGGGGGCCACACTACTCCGGGCACTACTACTAATTACTCCAGGCGCCGAGTGCACCTACCGCCGGCGCTACCTTTGGGCGCTGCAACTGCTGGCTCTAAGCGTTGCGCGCCCCTTCTCCAGGCGCTACGTGCGCCGGCTCCGGACGCTGCGTGTACTGGCTCCAGGCGCTGCGCGCCGTCGCTGCTAAGAAACCTACTTCTACAAGCGCAAACGGCGTGTGCTGGCTTCAGGCGCTGCGTGCCGTCGCTGCTAAGAAACCTACTTCTACAAACGCAACGTGTGTCGCTTCGACTTTTAGGCCCCACTTCAACGCTATATTCCCCTATTCTCTCACCTTTATTTTTTTTTATAATCTAATTGTATTCTCACTTCATCCATCACCATCCTCACATCATTTTTTTATAAAATTGTATATTTTATAAATTTAAATATATTGTTTTCTGGCTCTACCTTTGTTGTTTTGTTGTACTTAGGTTAGGTTCTATTTTTTTATTTTTTTTTATTGTCGCTTCACGACAACTTCTCGTGTGATCTCGATATGAATTTGATCAAGGTCAGACCAATAGTTTTGAGTTATTCTTAATATATTATATTGAAGTCGGCTGTACAAAATTTTTAATTTTAAATTAGTTTTATCTAGGATGCAGGTGGCTTACGACCATTGTGGCATTCCTTGGGGCAGGCCTATGTTCAGAAATGGATAGTAGGGCTGTAATGAATGAATTCATGAATCCAGTTATTCCGGCTTCCCTTATCTTGTTACCCAAGATTACATTATGAAAATGATAAAGAATGAGTAACAAAGTGCTTCCCTTTGTTACTCACTTACCATCAGGTGAGCCGCATGCTCGTTTGCCCTCTCTTCTATAAAAAAAAACATTCGACTTTTGGGTTGTATTGTAATAATATGGCGGGATTCATTCAAATACTTCTGTGTTACGTATTTTAAAACCTTCTCTGATAAAAGAAGCTAGTGCCCAGTGTGTAGGCTGATACTCTACTCATTTTGGCGAAAGGAGTGGTAAAAAGCGTACTTGGGTATGAGCCAGGCGTCGCCGAGCGAGTGCCAGAGCTCGGTCTCCTTGCTGGTGACGCAGTTGGCGAGCAGGTTGAGCGCGTCTCGCGTCAGCAGCGGCTGGACCACGCGCGCCGGCAGCCTCCCATCCGCCACATCCTGCGCAGCGTCCACGATCAGCGCCAGCGGCGTGAATAAAAAGTGTACTAATTCCGGTGCGTTCGGGTCGTGAATATGCGCGCGCAGCCGAGCCAGCAGGTTGAACGACAGCTTGAACTTCTGCAGCACGTCCACGAAGTCCCGCTCCGGTGGCGGGCGGGTACGCATCGCCAGCATTCCGTCTCCCGCCCGCTTCGCGCCGCGGGAGCGCCGCCGTCGCTCGAGCTCTCTCGACGCGGCCGCCGCGTGCTGTAGCCGCGCGATGAACTTCTCTATGTCGTCGAAACAGCGGTTTAGGATCGCGATATCCTGCTCGTACAGTCGCTCCGAGCCCGTCGAGGACGCGTCGTCTCTGTCCCCGCCGGAGCCGGCCCTCTCGCCGCGCCCCAGCTGCGCGGAAATTTGCTGCCGACAAACAAATTAGGTACTAGTATATTTGTTTGTTAGGTTATAGGTTAACAGAATTGCCACCTGCATTCACCCCCCCCCCCCCCCCCACTTAGATAGCACAGTTTATTTGAAGTGAAAACTTCTTTAATAGTTGTGATTTGAAACTCGACGAAACGAAAAAGCGACGTCAAAAATATACAAACATACATCTATAGGATTTAACCGACGAGAGAATGAGATAGAATACGTTATACAGTGTTTCATATTATCTCGGTCTCAATAAATTAATAATAATAAAAGAATTATTAATAAGGTTTTATTACTAAAAAATAAATAAGATTTCACTTCTACCGCGTGTGAACTGCACACATTATTTTTTTTATAGAATAAGGGTGACAATCGACCAGACAGTTCACCTGATAGTAAAGGGGTGCCGTGCCCCATAGACATCTATCCTCGGTTAAAAATCAAAATGCGATACGATCTGATATACTAGCGTCTCATTCTCATTGTTCATGTAGGTGTTTTGAAGGCTCAGTGGCGCAGTGGCTTAACAATGAGTTGTTGCGCTGGGAGCTGGGAGCTGGGAAATGTATGTATGTACACTGCCCCCACAACACAGGAGAAATTCCTAGTGTGGAGGTAACTTCTTTTAAAAAACGAAGAGATTTTTTTTTATAAAACGGGTAATCCACACTAGGGTTTTCTTCTGTATCATGGAGGCAGTTTACAAACATACATTGTACGAAGACAAACATCCGGACCCGGAACAATTATTTGTAGGCCATACAAATACTTGTTCCGTGCGGGATTCGAACATGCGGCCCCCGGCGCAACAACTCATTGCTAAGCCACTGCGCCACAAAAATAAAGAAAAAGGTGTGGTACGTGCGGTGCCTTTGACATGCCTCTGCGAAGCCACGCTTAATCCGAGCTAGATTATCCAGCACTTCCGGTACGTGAGTCGCGTGACCCGATTATTGATTTTTTAAACTATTGCAATTATGCAAAGTTTTCATTACTGGATTTTTTTTTATAGAATAAGGTCGACTTACGAACACACAGTCCAGTAAGTGGTGAGTGGACTTGTGGTCCATAGACATCTACATTTATCCCTAATTAAGAATCAAAATGCAGATGCCTTGTGAAGACTGAGATGGAATCAGTTTCCAGTATAAACGGTCTCGGGTTTTCTACACTCACCATACGAAATACAGCAGCATCAAGCTGCTATTTTACGCTGGTATTCTGTGAAAGCGTGGTCCTACCACTATTGAGCATCCGTGCTACAACCATAATATAGCTGCAGCATGGTTCTGCCACGTATATTTTAAAATGTAAGATTGGCTTAGTGTAATTAATTGTATTTCATTAATTTTTGCATGCCAATTATGGCAAAACATGTCAGTTCCACATCACTGACCATCTTATGTACCATGTTTTAAGCAAATAAATGTTATATCTATCTATAAATCCACTATAATAAAAATAAAAATATCTCTTAAATATTTTATCTAACAACGTAACGAAGGCAAAAGGAATGTTTGATAGGAGATTGATAACAATTGATTACAAATGATTAACACTGTGTTGTGAAATATTCTTTTGGAAGAAATATTATACTGGATCCTTTTTGGTTTTACCCAGGATGTTTTTTATCTAAAGTAATGATAAAAGTAAAAGTGACTTTCGGTAACTAATAACTAAAATTTCTATATCTTCATCATCACCATCATTATTACAGCCCTTCACAAGTCCACTGCTGAACGTGGGCCACCTCCAAGGTATATCACACGACCTGAGCTACAACCATCGACTTCCTGCATATTTTACTAGGTTGTCACTCCATGTAGTGGTGACCCGAAATACACTTAGACATAGACATAGACATAGACATATGTTTTATTAGCATCAATACACACACAAAATATACATTTAGAAATAATGAGACATACATACAAGGTAGTTGAAAAACATAAATAAAAATAAAGTAAATCTTAGCAAGAGTGAGTGATGTGATGCCAAAAGGATTCCGTCTCAGCATATGCTACCACAGATACTGCAGCAGCGCTGATTTTCGTCTACCCGTACGAGGTTGTCACTCAAGAATCCTTCTTTCTCATTGGTTGTCGGTTATTCGAGCTATATGGCCGGCCCATTGCCACTTCCCGTTAGGCTATGTCGGAATCTCTATGTAAACAATATAAACTGTTGTCGTAGTTATTTTATGGCCAGGTATTGTCTATTATTTATGGAACGTTTAATTATCTATCATTATATTATTGTATTATTTGTTATTGATGCAAAAACGGATGATATTTACGCAATCATGCGGCAAAAAGTGGAGTCTCTTGTACGACGCGTGCGTGGGAGCCCAAACAGAGTCCTACAGACACAGATTACCCCCTAACAGATGATTAGCAACAGAGTCGTAGGCTTGGGTAAAAATATCGATATATTGAAATATTGATATTTTCTCATAAAGTTATCGATATTTATTCGTCGGTATTTTTAATCGCGATATATCGACATTCGATATTTACTTTATAGTATCGAATTAGTATCCATTTCGATACATTTTTTAATAGACAAAACATTAAGCAACAAAAGCATTCCATGCGCTGTTTTCATTTTTTTATTTGTCGTCAAAACGTTCAGAAATAAAATTATGGCACTTGTGCTACTACATAATGCAAAACATGACGATATATCAATATTTATCTCGCGATAACTATCGATACTGTTTAAAAAATCGATACGATAATTACCGATTTTTTTCTTTTCAGAGAACCGGAGACCCTTTTTACTGGAAAGGCGACATTCCATCGTAGTCCTCACGGGTGACAACGCATCTGCATTAGTAATCGAGGATAAATGTACATAGATGTTTATGGGCCCCAACAATCACCTACCATCATGTGGACTTTGTGCTCGCAAGTAAGAAAAATTGTACCTTCCTGAACTAATACTGAATAATAATAATTATTATAATTTTTGTAGTATGCAGTACTTTACTGCTGAGACATGAATTAACTCATAAGTAAGTATTTCATATATCGTTTCATATTTCTTGTGTTCGTGATGTGTTAATTGTACGATTTGAAATAAGCAATTTAAATGATAGTAGAGATAAGCCATTGATTGGTAACGCTTATCAGATACGGACAAATAAGCTGATAAAATTCATACATACGTACGTATCAATACTTTTCTAGAATATATTTAATGTTACAACAGTATCAATGTCACCTCAACAATCTCTTTATTATTATTCACTTAAAAAATACAGTATAATCTACGCAATATAAATTAAAGTAAATTAAATTTTTTATTAGAAATATTATAAATTTTAATATATTACCGTTTAGTGGCGGTGTAAGAATATCCACCATGGCGTGATCGCGGAGCAGGCAGAATTTCAAATTATTGCAATTCATACAAATGTAAACTTTAATAACTTGAGTATAAACTCGGTTTTCGAATCACAAATACTGTTCTGAAGGTCCTAAAACTATCTTAGTTGCAATTGAAATAAAACTATTTGTGATGGGAATTAAGTTTAAAATTGCAAAGCAATAAAAAATGCTGATCTGCAACCGTGCTTTACTCATATCATTCCGTGGGTGTCATAAGAGACGACAGAGGGAAATAAATCACGAAATGGGCAGCAGCGACTTTTTTTATAGGAGAAGTTGACAAACGAGCACACAGTCCACCTGATGGTAAGTAGTTGCTGTGACCCATACACATCTAAATCTAACCTCAATAAAGAATCAAAATACAGATGCGTTGCCACCCGTGAGTACTAAGATGAAATGCTTCTTTTCCAGTAAAAAGGTTCTCCGGTTTTCTACACTCACCATACGAGACACAGCAGGCTTAAGCTGCAATTTTACGCTGGTATTCTGTGAGTACCCTTCGCTGCTTACGCATATTGCAACGGAAGTAGAGACCATTCTAGACATTTTTAATACGGTTATGTGTCAGGAACCGCATACCACATACCGCAGCGTTGTGCATTACAATCAAGAAACTAAAGCTTTAAGCGAACTGTCCGGCGGCTTCCGAGTCGCTACTTCAATTGACGACCTGGTAAAACATGCAGGAAATCGATGGATGCAAGTGGCTCTAGAATGTGTTTTGTGGCATTCCTTGGGGAGGCCTATGTTCAGAACTTGATGTAATAAAATTTACCATGTATAATTTTTCTACCGAGTCACGCTGCAGCATTATAATGGTTGTAGCACGAATGTGTCGGCTCGACAGCGGTAGGATCACGCTCTCCGAAATATCAGAGTAAAGTAGCAGCTTAATGCTGCTGTGTTTCGTATGCTGAGTGTAGAGAACAGGAAACCCTTTTTACTGGAACCGATTCGTTCCATCTTAGTCCTCAGGTTTGATTCTTAACTGAGCAAGGATACATATAGATGTCTATGGACCACAGCATCCACTTACTTTCAGGTGGACTGTGTGCTCTTTTGTCACTCTTATTGCATAAAAAAATTCCATTAAAATGAGTTTTTAGTTTCTTACCTGTCGCCGGGGTCGTTCCATGTCGCTTTCTCTCTCTCTCTCCCGTTCCCGCTCGATGATGAAGTCACGGCCGCCCTCCGCTGACGCACCGCCGCCGACTCCCCTGGGCACAAGCACAATCTTAATCCTGTGTGTGTATGTATTTTTTTCCGTAGGCGTTACATAGACCGCCGAGCCAATTACGTGTTAGTAATAAAAAAATAAATGAATCGAACTAAAAATAGAAGCTCGTAGACGAGTTTGACCAAAGCATATTAGTATGATAAAATTTCTATCACACCATGAATAGGCGGACACGGGCAGCAGCACGGTCGGTCGGAAGTGGATCATCTCGGTGCTGCAATGCGCGCGTGCGCATTCGCCGGCATACACATCTCGATTGATATAATTCATCTCTTCACATCCGAGGTCATCCTCCGTATCTTCGTGATAAGATTAAATAAAGGCTCTTGAAACACTACAATCTTTAGGTGTAGCATACGCACAATGTCATTTATATATTCTTCAATTTGTCCTAAATTCCTATGCCTTGTTTGCTAAATGTCGTTATTGTCTCACTGTCACTTGATCAATATGTTTTATTTCTTAACCCCATATATCATCCCGTGGGTGTCGTAATAAGCGACAGAGACAAAATTGGAGGCGGGCTAAAGCGTATTCCTTTTAATAACTAAAAAATAAAGAAACCACGGTTGCTAACCCGCCGGCCAAGCGTGGTAACTGGCAATATACCACGGATATATATTTGACGGCTCCGTGGCGCAGTAGATTAGCAATGAGTTGATGCGCTGGGGGCCGCGGGTTCAAATCCCGCACGGAACAAGTATTTGTATGGTCTACAAATAATTACAAGAAAGAGGTATGTAAGGATCGTGACACTTGGCGATCTGTTCTCTCTGGCTACCCCGTGAGGGACTGTGCGTGAAGATAAGTAAGTATAAGTAGTACAAATAATTGTTCCGAGTCTGGATGTTTGTCCTCGTGCAATTTATGCTTGTAAACTGCCTTCACGACACAGGAGAAAATCCTAGTATGTGTGTGACGTTTTTTAAAAACAGACTAAAAATAAATAGACAATATAAGATAGTCAGTCTATGGAGGCCTACACTGCATACACTCAACACTCATATTATTTGTAAGAAAGCTGTGAAGCAGGTATTTAAAAGGTTAAACTTATTTACGTGGTAGAAAGAAACGCTCTCAAGAAAGAAACACGCTCTCACAGAATACCAGCGTAGAATATCAACTTAACGCTGCTATGTTTCGTATGGTGAGTGAAAAGCACCGGAAACCCGTTTTACTGGAAACGAGGCATCCCTTCTAAGTCCTTACGGAGGACAACGCGTCTGCATTCTGATTCGTAATCGAGGATAGATGTAGATGTCTATTGGCCACAGCATCCACTTACCATCAGGTGGACTGGGCTCGTCTCTCCCCCTAATTCCATAAAAAAAAATAGTTACTTGAGCGCGTTGAGCTCTTCGACAAGGGTCTGCGCGCTGACGTCGTGGCACTGGAAGATGTGGAGCTCGCGGCGCGTGTCCGGGGCACCCACCACGAAGGCCAGCACGTTGTTGTACAGCTCGCCTGGCTCCGGCGACGTGAACGCTGTCGGCGAGTGTACGTATGACGCCGGGAACCTCTCCATGATCGACTGACCACAAAAAATTATAACAAATTAATAGAATTAGGCATTATTTTGCCGAAATTCATTATATTGACGATTTAAAAGATTAATTACCCATAATAAAATAAAATAATGTGTCTTATTTAGTTTGAAGAGCACCTCCTGCTCTCCCTCAATTGCGTGCACTATCCCCGTCACCACTAATCCCAGTAAGACTACACTAGGAAAAACACACCACCGCCATAACACGATACGTGTTTCGCCTTTTAAACAAGGCATCCTCCAAGGTGAAGTAGACTGCTAATCTGCTTGTTCTGTTCGATGAGGTGGTTTTAAAAACTAGGTAAGACACATCATTTTATTTTGTAATTAATTATTAACTTTTCATACGTGGTAGAGCCATGCTGCATCTATATTATGGTTGTAGCACGAATGGGTCGGCTCGACCGGGGAAGGACCACGCTCTCACAGAATACCAGCGTAAATTAGCAGCTTAACGCTGCTGTGTTTCTTATGGTGAGTGTAGAGAACCGGAGACCCTTTTTACTGGAAACGAGGCATTCCATCTTAGTCCTCACGGGTGACAACGCATCTGCATTTTGACTCTTAATCGAAGATAAATGTAGATGTCTATGGGCCACAGCGACCACTTACCATCAGGTGGACTGTGTGCTCGTTTGTCACCCTTATCCTATAAAAAAATAACATTTGTCATTACAGCGGACCCCGGTAATCCGACAAAAATTTTGCAGGGCAGTGTCGGACTATCGAATTTGTCGGATATAGAGTACTGCCTAAGACCCCCTATAGTCCGGAATTTTTTATAAAAGAGTACCTTGTAATCCGACAAATTCCAGATCCAATGATAAGATTCTTTAATATGTTATATATATGAACGCTGAAGTACAAATTATACTTCATTATGTATGTCAAATTTAGTAAATTTAAATTCAAAACAATATCCTACGCGTCAAGCACAATAGTGGTGCTGCGTACAAGTTATAACTTGTTCAATCATGCATTTGCGAAAATTGTCAAATTTTTTTTTAATAATAAATAATAGACCATGTCGGATTACAGGGGGTGCCGGATTAGACAGGGGCCGGATTACTGAGGGCCCACTGTATTACAATTATCATAATGTGCCAGTTTCAGCGAAGACTAGTCATTTGCGCAGGACAGGATTATAGTGACCAAGTGCATGCGCAAGCACAGGTGCACTCTCTATTCCCTCACTCTCATAGATCGATGGGATGGCAATCCGATACGACCGGAGAGAGATCAGGCGCAGGACCAAAAGCTTTACGTGCTTTTGCCAGGTACGGAGCTGAAACACCGCCAACTTCCTGACTCCGGCCTGCTACTGTCAATATCCATACAGAAAAACCCAATAACTGATATTGCCTCAACCCGTGATTAGAACCCGGGACCTCATGATAAGCGACCGTATTCCCGACCACTAGATCAACGAGGCTGTTCAAAGTTATTATAGTTAATAAGGGGGAAGAAAGGTTCTCGAGTGGCAGCCTCGTACCGGCAGGCGAAGTTTTTTTTTATAGGATAGGGTGACAAATGAGCACAGTTTTAGCACGAATGGGTCGGCTCGGCCGGGGAAGGACCACGCTCTTACACAATACCTGAGTAAAATAGAAGCTTCATGCTGCTGTGTTTTGTATGGTGAGTGTAGAGAACTGGAGACCCTTTTACTGGAAAAGAGGCATTCTATTTTAGTCCTCACGGGTGACAACGCATCTGCATTTTGATTCGCAAACAAGGTTAAATGTAGATGTCTATGGGCCACAGCAACCACTTACCATCAGATGGACTGTGTGCTCGTTTGTCCCCCTATCCTATAAAAAAAAAGAGGAACACCCACAGTTTTTTATCGCACATGTAGGAGTGAACCATTTTAATTTATTTGCGTGACAGGATAACCCTAGCGGACAGTTGCTTAGCCGGCGTCTTGAACCGCACTGCACCGCACTATTGCCCCGTCTAGACGCCTTCGATGACCGACTTTTAGTAGTAGTTAACTTAACTGTGCTATAGTAGATAAAATATAATAAAATCAATGAAAACGTAAACTGGATAGCTGCTTTCATTTTGTTTAACTTCGCACTCAATGAAAAAGTAAATTTACACGTAACAACGTACCCCTGTTTCATAATCCATGACCAGCACCCACTGATCCTCTAAACATAACTGCATCTTCTGACTCCATATTCCTAAAAGAAGAGAGTTATTATTAATTTAGAAAAAAATACTGTGTAGTAACGATGTAAGAATATCCACTGCCCCATATCATCCCGAGAGTGTCGTCAGAGGCGACTGAGGGAAACAAATCAGCAGATGGGCAGGAGCGTCTTCCTAATAACGACTATTTTTTTATTTATTACGTTATTAGTTTTTTTTTGAGTGTACAATAAAGGGTAAAAAACTGCAAATATCTAATATTCCCCCATTAAAAAATATGCAAATATCTAATATTCTTCCTATGAAAAATATGCAAATATCTAATATTCCTCCTATGAAAAATATGCAAATATCTAATATTCCCCCATTAAAAATATGTAAATATCTAATATTCCCCCATTAAAAAATATGCAAATATCTAATATTCCCCCTATGAAAAATATGCAAATATCTAATTTTCCGCCTATGAATATGCGACGGCTTATTCAGCAGCGGACTTTAATAGGCTGTAACGTAACATAACAAAATCGCCAACACAACCGATGTTAATGTTTTGAGAGACAGGTACCATTGGTTTTCTCTAGTTGAAGCAGCCGGCGCATGCCATCGGCCGGGTACACGATGCCGGTTTCCCTGGTCACGGTGAAGGTGGCGAGGTGCTCCAGCACGTACACGGCGCGGCCCCGGAGCCCCGCCAGCTGCTCGAACTCATCTATCGCCCGCTGCGTGTCCCCGCCCCCGCCCCGCGCGACTCCCGCGCCTGCACCCCCGCCGCCACCCCGCAGCGCCATTTCTCCACGGTCTCAGGCTGGATGGCCTGGCATCATCGCTTGGTTCACACTCTCTCGCTGAGGTTATGTTTCTTTTGTGTTATCTGTAAATGTAAAATGAGATCCAATTAGTCAAGCGCTCACATCATCACAACATCACAAGAAAACAATAAGGAACGGCAATATAAAGGCTGTTAAAGAAAAGAATTGAGTCCTGAATTTGGATATAATAGACTTAGGTTCCACAGCACTGAAAATTGGGAGTAGTGCAAAGTTATCGCCTCTTCACTTTATAACCCGCTTCCCGAGTGTAGTGAGCATAAAAGACCTACGAGTCTTTTCCTTTATCAGTCTTGTAATGAAGAATTTAATTGAATAGATTCGAATAGAAGGCGAAGAATTACAGATTATATTATGTTGTCTAGAAGGTCAATCCAAAAAATTCATAAATATTTCAAATTATAGTGTTTTATTGAAGTCTTAACTGAAGGTAAAGATGCAAGTACGATCAAAAGAAATGAAGGCAACCAGGACTTTTTCTGTCACCAGGGCGACGCCACTTAAAAGTGAAGTGTAATATTAGACAGATTTCATAGCGGTAAAGTTAATTTGTTCAAAAAATTGTAAAGGTTATTGTTTTTTTTTCTGTACTATTAGTTATATTTTATATTAATTAGATTAAAAATAAATAAACCAAGCCATAGATAATCATAAAAGTAGAAAAAAAAAGAGTTAAAAATGTGCACAAAAATGAAAAAGCAAAACACTGAGGCATTGTTTTCTGTATTAATATTATAATACTCTAGAAACTGATCAACTTTTATTTAAAACTAACTTATCAATTAAATGACATTGTGCAATCAAAAACTTCACTTCAGTGTCAACTAGCGACATCTGGTGAGCGGAAAATGATTAGCCCTCATTATTGGAGCTATCAAGGTCGCTCAGCGAGCTATGGAGAGGGCTATGCTCGGAGTTTCTCTGCGTGATAAACTTAGGAATGAGGATATCCGCAGTAGAACCAGAGTGACCGACATAGCCCAACGGATTAGTAAGCTGAAGTGGCAATGGGCCGGCCATATAGCTCGAAGAACCGACAACCGATGGGGAAGAAAGGTTCTCGAGTGGCAGCCTCGTACCGGTAGGCGAAGTGTAGGGCGTCCCCCCACGAGATGGAGTGACGACCTGGTAAGACATGCAGGAAGTCGATGGATGCAGGTGGCTCAGGACCGTGATTTGTGGCATTCTTTGGGGGAGGCCTATGTTCAGCAGTGGACTTGTGAAGGGCTGTAATGATGATTGGAGCTATGGCAATGATAACAGAACGTCAGATACCGTAGCAATTTCAATTTTAATGCATTGTGTTTAGGCTCCATCACTGTCTTTACTTACCGTTTAGTGGAGGTGTAAAAATATTCCCATATCAACCCGTGGGTGTCGTAAGAGCGAAACAAATCAGGAGATGGACAGCAGCGTCTTCCTAATAACGACAAAAATAAAAAAACTGCGCTTACCAACTCGCAAATATTTCCTCTATAAGACAATCTATGGGGGAGGCCTATGACCAGCAGTGGACTTTAATAGGCTGTAACGGTAACGGTTGTCCTTTATAATTACCTAGATTTTAAGCCTAACAATTAGAACATAAGTTATGTATAGTCTAGTTTCGTGTTTATCGTTTTGATATTTACTGTTAGGATTTAATTTAAATTTATTAAGATAAGACCACTGCTCGAAATACTCGAAAGAGGCGAAACGGGCCACACTGAAAAACAACGACTGTGGTTCGCTACGCCAAATGCCGAGTGCGACTCCTTTTTGTCACATTTAGCAATTTCTAGTACTATTACAGAACCTTTAAAATGGGACATATTACGTACAAATAGCGTTCTGATAAACTGGAGAATTAAATATTTTATTTCATTTTTCTTTTCTTTCTTTTTGGATGAACAGTCATTAATTATATAGGTACATACAATTTACCATGAATATGATCATGTGTTAACCCAGGGGTGTCACTTCCACTATGGAAGGTATGGAGCACTCCATACCTCAAGTTTTTCAAGGTATGGAATTCCATAGCTGAAATTAGGAAATAAATCGCATATTACTACAAACCCCATATAAATAAATCGCAAGCCCTTAAACCTCAATACCCCACATCTTATAGTTCAATAAATAAGTTGAGTATATACACTGCAAACTCTTAAACCTTAATACCCCACGAGTAATGCGAACAAATTTGAAAATCGCGCCACCATTTTCCATACCTCAGATTTTTACAAAGTGACACGCCTGTGTTAACCTGTTACATGGATAAATGTAGATGTCTATGGTCCACAGCAACTACTTTCCATCAGGTGGACTATGTGCTCGTTTGTCACCCTTAGCCTATTAAAAAAAAACGGACTATTGGCTGACTTTAAAGCATTAACTCAAACATTAGGAATTTATAACGACTTAATTTTTCTGCTTTTGCAACGGACGACATTCTTTGTATAAAATCAAAATGTCAAGTGACTAAATTATTATCATCTGTTGATAAGCGGCTACTGAGGCCCATGAACACCTGCGTCTAACTTCTAAAAGAGGTAAGATCAGGATTTTGCAGCAGTAACAGGAAAAGTGTGGTTTGCAAGATGTGACCAGGATTGAGAAAGGAATGCTTCGGAATATGCACAAGGATTAATTATTTGTGATATTAATAGAACAACTTGCACCTTTTTTTATTAAATTTTTGTCCTATTAAAGATAGCGGCAGTAAAAAATCAGTTTCAGTCATTAACAAATAGATTGGTAAATTTCTAAATCATTAGAAATATCATTAATTGTAACTTCTGGGAGAAATGAGATTGAAACAAGTGGGTAAAATGAAAATATTTGTATTGTTGCAGCCTATTTACGTCCCACAGCTGGGCACAGGCCTCCTCTCATTTCTGAGAGGGTTTTAGGGCAAGGAAATGTCCGCCATGCTGCCGCAATGCGTATTGGCGAACTTCACATGTCTTTAAAATATTTTTTTCTTATTTCTGAGACATGGAGGTTTCCTCACGATGTTTTCCTTCACCGTCGAGCACGTGGTAAATCAGCACTTAAAATTGCAATTAACAATTTCATTGGTGTCGGCGTTGATCGAACCAGGGTTGTTCACGTACTGTGAAGCTTACAGCGAGCGCTTACCATCTGAGCTACCACGGCTCTGTATTGAGTTCAATATAAATAATTTAAAATTAAAAAATTTGTACTGCCGACTTCAATATAAGTTATTAAGAATAACTCAAAAACTATTGGTCTGACCTTGATCAAATTCATATGGGACCACACGGGAAATATCAGCTTTCAAATAAAAAAGAATCATCGAAATCGGTTCACCTAGTAAAAAGTGATGAGGTAACACACATAAAAAACCTACATTCGAATTGAGTACCGTCTCCTTTTCAGAAGTCGGCAGATAACATGAAAATATCATCAAATGAGAACATTATCTATTAGTGATGACCTTTAATGGTCTTACTGTAGTTATTAGTATTATCTATCCTAATTATGATAGCTGTAGGTCTTCCTAATAAAAAAATATCAATGTAGTCGAAGTCAATTAAATACGCGTTATTAAGGATTACTCAAAAAACTTCTGGTCACATCTTGATCAAATTTATACGGGACCACATGAGAAGCACCAGATTACAAATGAAAAAGACTCATCAATACAACAGTCAATCAAAAAGAAATACAGTCGAATTGAGGACCTCCTCCTTTTTTGAAGTCGGTTAAAAGCACATGCTGCTTAGGAGTTAATAGTCAAATAGAAATTGCTAACAATGCGAACTAAAATTATCAGAAACAGTGGAGTGTATAATGAACAGTGCTCATCCAAATTCAAGCATGATAATTGACGATCAGCAGAGCGGAACCGCACCAGGTACAGTTAGCGGCACAGGTGGCACCCGATCGTACTCGTATTGCGAACGTGTTTCAACCATTAACTTGAAATTGTTCTATCATCATTTGTATATCTCACACGTTATTTTTATTAAACAGATTCAGTAATATTCTATTCAAACAGTTCTCTTTCAATATTTACATTTGAATAATACTTTCACCGTATACCTCGATGCGTCACATTTACGTTTTCACTGTTATTTTCACTTATCACTGCTATCGTCGTGATATCGATCTGGACCACATAAAGTCCAAAGTTCTCATTTCGTTCACGTTGATAAACCTAACACACGCGTAATGGAAGTAACACAGCTTTTACTTAAAAAATTTGAGCGCCGAGTGAGGTGTGGCGGAAGTACGGCGAGGTGCGCGACGGGCTTGCGACTGCGCGTGCGCCGCATCCCGATCAGCTCTCCCCATCTCGTTTACTCATGCTGAACCCGCGCGTACTGTCTCCTTCGCACGCGTGCAGGAATCCAACAGGATATAACTTTAAAATATAGCGGATTATGTTCCGTTGCCTTCAAGTAATAAAACCGCCAGCAATTGTAGTATGGGAACATTGAATCAATATGTAGTACTACGTCTAGAAGAGACGCTGAGGTTTGGTTGTTTGCAACACTTTATAGCCCACGGGCTCCAACTTACTCTATGCCATAAAAAGGTACAGTGGACCCCCGGTAATCTGACAAACATTTTGCAGGTCAGTGTCAGACTGTCAAATTTGTCGGATTATAGAGTACTGCCTAAGACCCCCTATAGTCCGGAACTTTTTTATAAAAGAGTACCTTGTAATCCGACAAATTCCAGATCCAATCATAACATTCTATATGTTATATATGTACTCTGAAGTACAAATTACACTTCATTATGTATGTCAAATTTAGTAAATTAAAGAACTCAATAGGGAGCTTACATTTTATTATAAAATTAACGTCATTAATGCCATAGAACTTACAAAATATATGCAATAACTTTACATTAGGAAATAATTGTGTACAAACAAATGTACATACTAAAATAATCAAAAATTATGAATCAAGTTATAACTTGTTCAATCATGTATTTGCGAAGATTGTCAG